CACCCGGGGCGCACCCAAGTCTCTCTCCCCCGCTGCTCCCCCAGGGCTGCCGCTGCTGCTGAAACTGACGAGCGGCGGACTTGGGGAAGCTGTGGAGCAGAGCAGCTGGGGTGCTGCCGGGTTGGTCCCTCAGTGCCGCCCTTCACCCCCCTGCTCGGCAATAACTACTGCAGTCTGGGGGGTGGGGAGCCCGCTCCCCTCCTGGATACTCTGTGGCGGAGCGGGGCTTCCCTCGCCGTGCTGTTCCCCTCCCGCCCCACGGATGCAGTGTGGGTCCCAGCAGACTCATCACAGCCCCCCACCGGAGTACCTCCTGATACTCCGGCATATCTGATAATCCAGCACCACCTAGGTCCCAAAAGTGCCTGATTATTGGAAGTCTACTGTACTCTGGGTTCTAACTCAGGGACCCTATAAATGACAGCCATGTACTGCTGTCTCCAGCTTACAGCTGGTATCCCTGGCCTTTCCTCACATAGTCCCTTTCTCTTAACCCTTACCTCAGGGCTGAAGTTCTCATTTGCTGAATGCAAATGTCACCAGAACTAATCTTTTGGTTCTCTAAGTGCCTTTGATTAGCCATGAGTAACCTTACCTTGCTCCTCTGGCACCAACCTGCTCAATTCCTCCAACCTCTTTTATCTGGGCCTGCTGGGCTGTAAGTGTCTGCTTCTATCCAGCCTTGCTAGACAGGCATGGAGGACCCGTCTTTGCTACTCTTTTTACTGAGGTAGGGTATCTGGGGATTCCAGCAGGGAGCCAGGAAGGCCACATTGACTCCATCATAATATGCCTTCAAAGATTTATGGATAATGTATGAAGGGGCCTTGACTTTTGATTCAGAACTATACTGTTAATTGTAAAGAAACAGCTTTGTGTATTAAATCCCCTTTGAGAATATTTTGTGTCTTCGGCCAACTATAGAAAATAATAATCTCACATAGTTTGCATGAAATGACTGAGTAAAAATGCAATTAAATAGTACACATTCTAGCTGCTTCTAAAACTGTAAACTGGACAGCTAGTGATGCTATTTATAAACAAAATTTTAATCTAATCTCTCCTTTCTCAGGATTAAGATATTCAGAACTCATGCCTAAGGCTACTTTTTAGTCATGGGTATTTTTAGTAAAATCATCAACAGTTCATGGGTGGTAAACAAAAAATTCATAGCCTGTGACCTCTCCATGACTTATTATATACCCATGTCTAAGAGTTGGAGAGGGGATCTTGGAGGTGCTGTGGATGTTCTGGGAGAGGAGATGAGTACTGGGGCAGGCTCCTTACACAGCTCCTGGGAAGTGTACAACCTCCAGTGCTCAGTTCCATGTGCTGCCTCTGATCTATCTAAAGCCCTGGTTCTGCAGCTCCCGTTAGCATGCAATTGGAATAGCATGAAAGGACTGCCAATATGGGGAGGCAGGCACGTGGAGCTAGGAGCTGAGCAAAGGGAGTCACTGTCACCTTTTTGGAGATTGCCCCACACCCAAACTCCTGCTACTGGAACGTGGGGAGTCCCAAGACTGCCTCAGCAGTGGCTGGTGCACCTGGCTTGGAGGTCTGCCTGAGCTGCTCAGATGGCCCTCCCTCCAGGCGTACTGACTGCTGCAGAAGTCATAGAATCCATGACTTCCATGACCTGCACAGAGCCTTACTCATGGCCAATGTGCCCTCTAATTTTTTCCAACCATGTGCAGATTTTTTCCATTCATGTGCAGAATGAAGATTTTATGTGCACCACAAGTAGGGAAAAAACTTAGCAGTGAGTGCTCTGCTAATCAGCTGGGCAGCATTTGACTCTTTCCTGAGTGGCTGCACAGGTGCATCACTTACAAGGAAACACTGTTTATGGCTAATTCTTCTTTTTCAACTCCCCATTTCTACAACTAATTCTGTGGTGATTCCAAGGGTAGGATGATGCAGATTACAAGAATGAATAGTTTTAACATATATTTACCATCCTGAAAGAAAGCTTTTGCTAATGTCCAACTTAAACCTTCCTTGCTGCAATTTAAGACCATTGCTTCTTGTCCTATCATCAGAAGTCAAGGAGAATAATTTTTTCTCCCTTGTAAAACCTTTCAAGATATTTGAAAGTGCTGTCATGTCCCCCCTCATTCTTGTTTTTTCTAAACTTAAATCCAGTTTTTTCAGTCTTCCCTCATATATCATGTCTTTTAAACCTTTAATCATTTTTGTTGTTGTTCTCTGGATGCTATCCAGTTTCTCCATATCTTTGTTGAAACAAGGTGCCCAGACACAGTACTTCAATTGAGGCCTAATCAGTGCAGAGAAGAGTGGAAGAATGACTTTTCGTGTCTTGCTCATAACACCCCATTAATGCATCCCATAATCATGTTGTTGGGGTTTTTTTGCAACAGTATCACACTGTTGACCCATATTTAGTTTGTCCTCCACTATGACACCTAAATAATAATAAATTAATATTCTGCCTAATATTTTTTGCAGCACACACCAAACAATAAAAACATGAGATTTATAATGTACCATTGGGCTGAAGACCAAATGTATCTTGCATTAGCCACAGAACACAATAATGCAACTGACTTTCAGTGAAAAGGAGTGAAGGACTAGTTCAGAGTAGTTTTTATTATTCATTTGATTAGTTCAAAAGTAGATTGCAGTCTCAATGGAATGTTTAGCCACTCCCCCCTCTCCCCCCTGTTTTGTGATTAAAACTTAAATTTTTTGCATGTATTATATAAAGCAAGTTGGATATTTACAACCATTAATTGCTCATTGGTGAAAGTTATTTTACAAATACTGTATCTTTAATATTGAAAGTAATGTAGGGGAAAAATACATAACCTGATATTCTTTTAAATATATAATAAGCATTGCTTTGTTTTAAAGGTCCATTTGGAATGTTAGTGTAATATTACTCATAATTGTTTTTATTTTAGTAAGTGGTATTAAACGCAAGAGAAATAAATGCAACAGATGGAATGAATCATTGTTTCAGTACAGTGGGGACCATCTTGAAAATACCATTGAACCAAAAGCTGTTTAGAATCTGAGAAATTAAAAGTGCATAATAAGGCAGGGAAAGAATTAATTACATTGTTATAAAATTCTATTTTAAAAATTTTATGCTCTAGTGCTTTTTCTTTCAGAGATATAACAACAATGAAAGGCACCATTGTTGCTCAAGTTGATTCCAGTGAGTCTTTCCAGGAGTTTTGCAGTACATCGTGTTTGTCCTTTTATGAAGACAAGCATAATCCCTCAAAAGGAATCTTGAATAAGTCAAGATGCACTATCTGTGGTAAACTAACTGAGGTCTGGTTGAATTTTTGGTCTTTTAAATTGCTTAGTAGTAGAACATTTGTTAAAAAGTTGGAAAAAGTGGTAAAATGTCTATTTTAAAAAAAAATCAGTTTTTTTTTATTTCAGTAGTAATTGGGCTTAATATATTTAGCAGTTACATAGCTTTTTCCATTTTCAATCATGCTTTATAACGGTTAATATTACTTTTTGTAAATGTCTTTATTGTATATTTAAATTGAAGACACCTATGAAGACAGTTATGCATTACATTTTTTAAGTCATGTCGCTAACATTTTGGAGTTTATTTCCATGGCTGATTTATTACAAGTCTGGCTTATTTTTGGAAGGCTAGTCATTTTACAATTTTATGAAACTTTGTTGAGTTGATCTCCATAAGAGCATAAGGACCATACTGTTTCAGACTAATCAATAATCCACCTAGCCCAGTATCCTGTCTTCTGACGTTAGCCAGTGCAGCATGCTTCAAAGGGAATGACTAGAGCAGTGCACTTATCAAGTGATCCATTTTCTGTTGTCCAGTTCCGATCTCTGGCAGTCAGAGGCTTAGAGACACCTATAGCATGGGGTTGAAACCGTGACCATCTTGGCTAACAGTCACTGATGGTCCCTATCCTACATGAACTTACTTAATTCTTTTTTGAACCCAGATATACTTGATGTCTTCACAGCATCCCAGGGCAATGAGCCCCACAGGTTGACCTGTATGTTATGTTTTTGTTTATTTTTATTAACTTAATTGGGTGATCCTTGTTGTTTTGTATGCTTATAAGAGAGAAAACTACAAACAGTTACTGGTCTCAATTTCATTTAATTTTTTAGTAACTATTTTGAGAGCTCTCAAAGCACAAATCCAGTAGTAATTGGTACTGATCAGTATCAGTTACATTACATACAAATGTTGCCATCAAAACAATTCAGGATGTTCTCTATTTTAATTGCATATTTTGGAGAATCCTTTAGAGTAATATACAAATGATTCACATAGTACAATATACTCCTATTCAAATTCTACTAAGTTGGGATTGCTACATTCTGGATGGAAACACTGGGCCCAGTTAACATAGCAATGCTACCAAGACAAGCCATATAAAATTAAAAGCCAAACATATTAAAAATCTTGCTTACTATCAACAAAGTGTATAAAATACACACAAATTTGTGTAAATTAGCTCCCCAGTCTCTTGAGCAACCTTGTGTGAATCCCATCCTGTGACCTTGGATTGGCTTATAAAGTCACAAGAGTAGCTGGGGTTAGGGATTTGTTTAGAGGTTGTAAGGAGATAGTTTGCTTTATTTGTTGTAGTTATTTCAGATGCATATGTCATGATATTATCTAGGATTTCAGTTGGACCTAATATTGTTTAACTTGTGATTTGTCAAGTGTAGTGTGCTGATGAAGAATCTTTTTTTATAGATTCGACATGAAGTTAGCTTTAAGAACATGACCCATAAGCTCTGTAGTGACCACTGCTTCAATAGATACAGAATGGCGAATGGTTTAATAATGAATTGCTGTGAGCATTGTGGGGAGTACTTGCCTAGTAAAGGAGCTGGAAACAACATCCTTACGATTGACGGTCAGCAGAAAAGGTTCTGCTGCCAAAACTGCGTTGGTGAATATAAACAGGTAACTACTTCTATTTATAAAAAAATGAATTTTAGCCTACACATTTAAAAAAAACAACTCCAAAATATTGGTACAGCTCAGATGCATTCTGTTATTGATTAACTGAGTTGTGCATGACATTTTTTGTAAAATAGGAAGAAACTTAGATTCAGCTGATTAACCTATGCAAGTTTGTATGTGCACCTGTGGGAGTGGAACTGTATTTGTAAACTCTTACTGTAAAAGGAGGCATGTATTTTTTTCTAAAATGCTAGTGACTTTGAAGTTTTCTTTTTCAGAATATTTTATCTTTCTAGTGACAACTTTAATTTTTAACATATTTGTTTAGGGTGCACATGACAACACCATTCTGGTTGTGTAACACACTAATGCTCAGATATAGAAACTCACTTGCACATTTAGATATTTATGTAAAATTAAAAATATATATGGGCCATGCAGGCCGGACGTGGCTGTTGACTCCCTTAATCACATTGTTTACCTGTACATTGGATATAGTTTTAGTTCCTTTTCGGTGTAGACCAGTGGTTCTCAAACTTATTGTCCAATGGCCTGCCTGCCTCAATGCAAACCTTTCCTCAGACCACCAGTTGCTAATGGAAACTCAGCATTAATTACATAATTATGTCTGAGCCATTTTGCTAGTGCAGCTAGGGAGAACGGTTTAATTTAAATTATTAAACAGATTAAGCGTTTAACTTTCTCATGTTAGTTTATCAAACTTCATTTTAAATAAAGGAAGATATTAATTTTTGTCCAATACAAAAGGTTTCAATGTTTTCTTTATTTATGGCAGGGGTGGAGAACCTTTTTTTTTGGGTTGGGAGCCACTGACCACAGAAAAATCAGTTGGAGACCACACAAGTGAGAAGCAAAAAAAAACCTCCTCCATAAACTCCCACCCTCACTGATGTGGCCCCCAAGTGAGACACCTCACTCCTCTTGTGCTCCAGCCCCATATGGCAAGGGGGAAAGGACAGGGAGGACTGAGGTTCATGGCTTCCAATAGGCCAGATTTACTTTTCTGGGATTTCAGAGAGAGTGGATTTTGTGGAACCCCTTCGGCTCTGGAGTAGGGTAAAAAATGAGGGGTTCAGTGTGCAGGACAGGGCTGCCAGCAAGTGGAATAGGGATGAGGTGCAGGATAGGGGAGGGTGGTGGGGTGCAGAAAGGGGAGAGGTTGCAAGGTCTGGGTGGGAGGTAGAGTGCAGAAGCAGGCTGGGAGCAGGGTGTCTGGATAGGAGGAGAGAACAGGAGCAAGGGAGGGTGCAGTGTGTGGCTAGGAGGGAGTGTGCAGGAGCAAAGGTGAATGCAACAGCAAATTGATAGTAGGGTGTCTTGCCAGGGGGGAGGGTTCAGGAGTAGGAAGGGGGTAGGTTGTCTGGCTAGGAGGGTCGGTGCAGGAGCTGGCTAGGGCTAGGGTGTCTGGCCAGGGGGGAGAGTTTAGGAGTAGGGTGGGAGTAGGGTGTTTAGCCAGAAAGGAAGCTGCAGGAGCAAGGGGTGGGAGGTGGAGGAGCGGGCTAGGGAAAGGATGTCTGGCCAGTGGGGAGAGTGCAGGAGCAGGTTTGGGGTGCAGGATCTTGGCGTTGGGCGGTGCAGGAGCAGGGTGGGAGTGCGGGATCTAGGATTGAGTGGGAAGGAAGGCACTTGCTTTCTTGCCCCATGCTGCTCCTAGGCATCATGTTCTAGGCACGGCCTGCCGCTGCTCCCATTTGCCGGATTTTGGACGATGAGAGCAGTGGGTAAAGTCTCTAGGCAGGGCCTTGATGCGCTGCTGTTCTCCCATGGGGGGGAGGGGAGGGGAGGAGAGGAGAGTGGCAGTTCTTGGAGCCACTTCTGGCTTTGTTTCTTCCCCACGAGCCGTATCTGGCAGGGAGGCTAGGGGCTCCCCCGACTGCCTCAAGATGCTGGCACTCAAACCTGGCAGGGGGCAGGGCGAGGCTGGAACATCAGCACAGGCTCCCTGCTGCGAGGTGGGGCTGAGCTCAAGCCTCAGACCACAGTTTGAGAACCACTAGTGTAGACCTTCCCAAGTCGAAAGCTAGGTTTTATGTATGTTCTTTAATGTGTGAAAGTCTGAAGGTCGTCCTCTTGAAATTATTATAGCATTTGAAAGAAGTCTTTGTATTTTACATTTTGCTGTCTTTATTTTGGAGGGGGTTGGGGGCTGGGGGATTACAAGAACCTTACCCCGTGCATTTGCTTTAGGAGGCAGTGGTTAACACTAGTGGGAAGGTTGGAATGCTCCTTAAGGTATTCCTGATATAGCAGGATAATTCATAAGTTATTAAGTTTTGTGCTGATTCTCTGTAGAAATTTTTTTTTTTTCTGAATTGTGTATGTTTTCTCTGAGAGTACATGATGACCTGGTATAGGTTGGATCTCATTGGTCCAGTACCCTTGGGACCTGACCAGTCCTGGATGAGGGAATTTGCTGAATCAAGGAAGGTCCCCTGCCACCAGTCCCCTCAGCCTGCTACTGCTGGCTGAGTGACTTGGCTGCCCTAGCCCTGCTGCCATAGATGCTGCTCCAGTCCCACTACTGGCACGACACCATGCAGCCCTGGCTCTGCTGCTGCGGCACTGGTCTGCTATCAGCCGGTACGTGGTCCTGATTGGGCTACCAACCTGCTGCGGCAGACGGGCTTCCCCTGCTGGTCTGCCACAGCCCAGACCAGCTGCCAGCCCTACTGCCATGGCTCTGTCTCCACTGCTAGGCTGGCATGCAGCCCCTTTTGGGCTACTGTGGCACAACCCCACTGTTGGGCTGGCACTCATAGGCTGCCCAAACCCCAGATGGGTTACCAGGCTGCCTCTTCCCCGCTACTCTGGCCCCGCTACTGTTGCTGGGCTGCTTAGGCCCTTGCCTCGATACTACTATGATCCAGGCTCTCAGCAGCTAGCCCTCTTTGCCCTGAGGCAATCCAGACATTGCGGGAAGAGAGAATCCTGGTTTATGGAGGTGCAACCTCTATATGCAACCTGTATATAGGGATTGTATTTTAAGACTTCTGAAATAAATGTTCCACTTGTAACACATACCTATATTTTCTGTAGTTTTGGAGTTAATATTTATATACATTAAGTGATTTGTTACTTTACCAAGGCTTCTTTGAGATGGTTGTGCATTGAGAATTCATTTCGTTTCACTTCTAAAAGCTGGTGAAATACACTCAGTCATAGGAAGCCCAGTATTGAATTAACAAAGCTTCATTATATTTGACTAAAAGATTTACCCAGCACTGCTTCAGTCCTTAACTCAAAGATTATTTGTTTTTCTTTATTTAAATCATTGTTCTGAGATGGTGTTGGGGGTGAGGTGTTCAATATGAAGGCTGCCCTGGGGAGAGAGGACAACCCCAGCCCTCTCTCACTTTAGCAGTAGGGGCGGGGGAGGAGGGCAAGGGGTGGGAGAGGGAGAAGTGCTTGTCTGACGGCTGCAGTGGGCTCAGCTGGGGAAGGGGGTGCATGTCCCCTGGCTGGGGAATAGAGAAACACACAAACTCTCTTAAATATATAGTAGACAGCTGTCCGTTTCTCCACCCCTGCTGGTCCAGTGGGGTTACAGCGATTCTGGTCCTCATCTCTGTCCCCCTGTGGTCATTTTGCAGTATAACTCCCACCTATCATATCCCTCCCTTTCTATTTTATATGAAACAATCAAATTCCAGGCACATCACATTGTCTTGGAACAACCAATTCCTGACCTTGGTTTAAGTTATGAGAAGAGGGAGCTGCTTTCCAAATTTGGTGGTCCTAGCTCTTACTGTTTAGGAGCACTTAAACAAACAGACACATAAAACTTTCTCAGATATATATAGTGGATGAATTAAAGAAAAGCTCTATAATGTTTGATCTCTGTTCTGTATTGCTATTGCATTTTTGAATGTCAAGTGCTGCCTACCTTTACTATTTTGGACTGCTTTTGTGAACTTGTACAGAACTCAAACAGTATTTCTGGCAATATATACATGTATAAACAGCACAATTGAAAATATAACAAGCCTTATTGTTTTATCACACAGCAAAACAAAAAAAGAGCAATATAGGTTTTCAAGATAATAAAAATATAGGCATAGAGAGAAGCCATGGAAAGACTTGGAGAAAGCATTGAATAAACACTCATGAAGGAACAAAAAGATACAAGATTAACTTTGAACTTGGGACTGTCCCACACAACCTAAAAACATGCACTGATGAAATGCCATGTGAGCATGAAATTATGAGAGGTGGAACGACAATTCTGAATCTATTATACATTCATTGCAAAATGTACTTTGTCATCTGTCTGTTTATATATTTTTGTACTATTATGTTCAGATATTAAATCTCCATATGTTAGTGAGAGAATGAGGTGGCATGGTATTGTTAGGATATTGTACTCTATTGTGTGCTGAGGAATTGCATGATTAGTAAGCTTCACCATTAGTAGTGAGAATTATGCAATAGCATGCTGATCCTGAAGTGAATCTCTTCTCCTTTTAACCTGGATAGTTTTGCTGCATCCATTGCCATTGGCAGACTTTGTACCAGCAAAATCTCTTGTGTTGCGAAAGGATTATTATGTATTTGATGTTTGTGGGCTGAATGGCTTAGGGATTGGTAATGAGCTGTGAACAGATTAATCTCTGCTGCCAGGCTGCATCCACCTAGGTTGTTGTGACCAAATGTCATTCATAGTACGTTTTCAAATAAGACAAATAGTGAATGGTGGATTTAAAATCCTTGTTTAAACGAGGTAAGATCCAAAATGGTATAATTGAGTCGATAGTATACAGAGGGGTGGGGCCCTGACTGAGAGACACATTCCCCTTGCACACCAGAGCCTAGGGGGGCTGAGGCTAGTAGATTTTGTGTGCCTGCACCCTGCGGTGAGGCAGCAGGGAAGCTTGAGTGTCAGTGTGGGCTCCCCAGTGTTGGGGAGGCCATGAGCCTCTGGGGGCTAGATCCAGGCAAGTCAGGGACTTCATCCTGCCCCCAGGCCTGAGGTACTTCACTCC